CAATATGACATATTAAGTAATATCAGAAAAGCTCCAAGTGGACCCTTATCCTTCTACAGTAAGACAGAAGCTGAAGGTGAAATGCTCATTACTTGGGGCTAGAGTCTCTCCAACTGCAAACAGTACCACAAGGCACAGGGTATCCCTAGTTGTAAAAATGAGCTAGAGCTGCCTGGTACTTGAAACCAAGCAATCAAATGTTAAGTATCTGCAGTGAATATCAGCAAATTACTATCTAAGGTCACTCAGTACTTTGTCCACAAGTATTTAGCTCTACTGAAATTTCATGAAAATGTGAAACTACTCTTATGCCTCCACTCTTAAAAAAATGATAAGGAATGAGAGAGTGCAGTTAGAAAATAAAAGGTGGATAGTGAAAGAGATTTACACATCTTACTCTGCCATACAGTTTTTCTTTCTGATGGATTCTCCTCCCAACACACATTGAATAATAAATAGCCGGGAAAACACCTGGTATAACATGGCATTTTCTTTAACACATGACAATAGTATAGAACTAGCACATTAATGACCCACCTTGGATTTGCTCAGTCAGCTGAGTTTGGTCAAGAAAGAAACCCACAGTAGTTTAGAAAGAGAGAATATGCATCAGCATCAGTTCATCTCTACTAAATGAAAGATGCCAGAGCATCTGGTAGAGAGTGTAACCTAATGATCAGAATAGGGAATTGGGATTTGGGTCTCCTGGGGTTCTGTTTCTCCACTGACTCACCTTGGCAAGTCACTTAACTTCTGTGTTTCTCAGTTCATTTTAGTATAAACATATTACCCATCTACTCTCAAATGTCTTGTGATGCTTTTTATTAAATGCTTGTAAAACACTTCAAGATCTTCAGATGGAAATACAAAATAAGTGCAAAGTGTTATTATGGCTGTCACTTATTTCTGATGAATTCAGTTCTCTGAGTGAATGTGCTCTACCAAACTCATCACTTGAGTTGTTCAGAGCTTCTTCCGAAAGAAGTACTCCACAGAAGAGATAGCTATGTTGACAGGAGAAACCATCATGATGACATAGTCCTGTCTACATGGGGGGGTAAGTCAGTATAACTCCATCACAAAGGGTGTGGATTTTCCATACACCTGTGAGCAAGGTAGTTATACTGACGTAAGTTTGTAGTATAGAATAGGTCTGAATGAGACAGGTTTTTGCATCAATAGCAGAGATCTGGCCTTTGGGAGTGGCTGCAGCTTATAGTGTTCTTTGTGTCAGACTGGGAGTACAGGATGGACCTCCCAAAATTGGGACTCCCTCATCCAGCAACATCCGTGGTTTGGCAAGTGAGTTCTGGCTTGGATCCTCCTGGCAGCTCAGAGCCCGGTAGGTTTGGGGCTGGGACTGGCATTGGAGCCCTGGTAGTGCAGCAGGAGCTGTGGCAGCCTCAGTAGCAGGGCCAGGGATGTGGCAGTCACAGTAGCGGGGCCTGGAGCAGAGATTTAGCAGCCCCGATAGCTGGGCCGGGGCTGGAGATGCAGCAGCCCTGGTAGCAGGGCTGGAGCAAGGGATGCGGCAGCCCCAATAGCAAGGCTGGAGACACGGTAGTCCTGGTAGCAGGGCTGGGGCCAGGGATGCAGCAGCCCCAATAGCGGGACTGGAGACGCAACAGTCCTGGTAGCAGGGCTGGGGCCAGAGAAACAGCAGCTCCAATAGTGGGTCTGGGTCTGGGGCAGTCCAGGCTGCTGGGGCTGCAGCAGTATGGCATCTGGCAAGGTGGGCGGCTGGGGCCAGCAGCGGTAAGGGAAGGTGGTCTGGGGAGCCGGTAGCAGGGAACCTCCTCTGGTCCGAACCAGTGAGGTCCAACCTGTATTCTCTTTTAAAGTTGACTGAGGTTTGTTTTACCTGAATTGTCACACACAGATACATATGTAACTCTTATTGGGATCTGTATGACTAAACCTTGTACTGCTGTTCAAAACTTTAATTTAGCAATAAACTGGAGAGATGGGGCTACTGTGACAGTACTTTTAAACAATGTGGGAAATTGCAGTGATGTGATTGTCTTGGAGTTTGACGTCATGAAGCGGAGTTCCTACTAATTGTGCTTAGGGTGTGACATACTGTTTTCTCTGTTCCTTGTTTTGAAAAAGCCATCACCATCAAAACAGCTATTTCAGTCATTCATTTTCCCAAAGTATAGTTTTTGAAAAAAAACAACTTCCCAGTGAGGAGTACCTATAGACAGGATAATGCTAAAAGTGTTTGCAAAGAACCCGCTGCCACATCCCCGGAAAACCAGAAGGATATAGACCAATTGCAAGGCTTTTAGAGAAAAGCACAAAAATTAAGGCTTTTGACCATTTATCAGTAGCTGTACCATAGTTAAATGATGACCAGGATATTCAATATTACCATGTGAAAATATCTAAAGATTGCACATGCACAAAGCAGAGAAAAAAGCTAGAATTAGAAGGAATAAAATTAAAATACTGAACATGTATGGTGCATTTTGGGAAAATAATAGGTATTATATACATTGAACAGTGGAATATTCTCCAAAAGGCAAGTCAAGAAAGCCCTGCTGAAGGAAGCATTTGAAACTGAACTGAACAAAGCAACAGAAAGGGTATGTCTACACCTCAGCGTTATTTTGGAATAATGTCCATTATTCCAAAATAACTGTGCAAGCGTCTACACAGCTAGCCGGTTATTTTGAAATAATTTTGAAATATTGGGCAGCTTATTTCAGTATTTGTAAATCTCATTCCATGAGGAATAACGCCTCTTCTGAAATAGCTATTTCAGAATAGCTGTAGTGTGGATGCCCCACTGCTGCTATTTCGAAATAGTTCCTCCCCCAGGCCATTCAAAGTAATTACTCCCCCATGATTCCTGGGGCTCTAAATCAAGGAAGTGCATCCCAGCCCACCTGGGTCTAATTTCCAGGCTTCCTTGTAGTGTAGATGCGCTATTTTGAAATAAGCTGTTTCAGAGTATTTCTTCTGGAATAGTTTATTCCAAAATAAGCGTGCAGTGTAGACATAGCCAAAGTGTATTGTAGGGAGTAATTCTGCACTGGCAGGGAGATGAATAGATGATTGAACAGCCCTCTTCCATCTCTAATTTGATTCTTCATTCACTAGCCATCCCCTCTCCCCAGCTTTCGGTGGCCAAAGAACACAAGCACAACCTCTAGATTATCTCAGGCAATAGAGGATTTTTCCATTTTACTCTTTAAGTGTTATGTCCTTTAAAAGGCTCTATCTGTAGACAAAATAGAAGGCACTCTTTTAAAAGTCTAAATAGTGTAAACTTTCCATATGCCTGGAGTGAAATTAAATTATTGTTTCCCTTATGGGAAGACAGACAGCTAAGGGAGCACATGACTTCTCCATGTCCTCCCCCATGTGAGCCTAGGACCCCACACTCTTCCCTTCTCTTCCCTTCCCCTCCCACATTATGGAGGGAGGGGGGAATGGGAGCAGTATAGCTGCTTTCCTCGCTCTATGTCTATTCTAGGAAGAACAGAGCAATGTATGTTCCTAAGCATGCGTTGTTGTAGCTGTGCCAGTCCCAGGGTATTAGAGAGACACGGTGGGTGAGGTAATCTACATATTCTATTCTAAAAGGAGAGGTGTCCATCACACTGTCTGTCACAGAGAGCATTTGAGAAGACTTAAGAAGTTTCTAGGGGGAGGCAGGCCTCTAGCCCCACCTATAGCCCCCCTCTCTACTGAGACTCCCACCACCACAGGGAGGGGAAGAGGAGGAGCAGCGTGCCAAGTGCGTGCACGCACACCACCACCACCACAAGGAGGGGAAGAGCGCACATGAACACACACCCCCGCATCCCCAAAGCAGCAGAGAGGGAGGAGGCCATGTGAACATGTGCCTTCCACCACTACAAGGAGGGGAAGGGCACGTATGCCCCAGCATCTGTGGAGAAGTGGGGAGGAAGAGGAGGCATGGTTCCAACCCCCAGGAGCAATGGGAGGGAGTAGACCACGCGCGCGCGCACACACACACACACACACACACACACACAGAGCATATGAAGGGGAAGAGCATGCCCATGTGCCTGTCCCACCATCCCCAGGGCAGTGGGAAGGGAAGATGATGCACAGCCCCAATCTTTCCCCACCCCCAGAAGCAGCAGGGAGAGAGGAGCAGGCCCAAGCCTCCCCACCCCTGGGAAGAGCAGGGAGGGAGGACTTCATGGGTGTGTCTAGACTACAGAGTTTTGTCGACAAAAGTGGACTTTTGTCGACAAAACTATACCCGCGTCTATACTACCGCTGAGTTCTGTCGACAGAACGTCGACAGAACTTAGCAGTTTTGTCGACGCTGGTAAACCTCATTTTACGAAGCATAACGCCTTCTGTCGACAGAGTTCTGTCGACAGAAGGTGTTATTGCATGTAGGGTTGTGTCTAGACTACAGGGTTTTGTCGACAAAGCAACTTGCTTTGTCGACAGAACTGAATGTAGTCTAGACGCTCTTTGTCGACAGAAGCTTTGTCGACAGTATCTGTCGACAAAACTTCTGTCGACAAAACCCTGTAGTCTAGACGTACCCCATGTGTATGTCTTCTATCACAGTGGGACAGGCAATGCTAGTACCTTTAATTGGGCCAACTTCTGTGAATAGGGCAGAGAAGCTTTCCCAAATGTGGCATTTTCTTTCAGGATAGAATGGGGAGTAGTTTAAGCTGATGAAAATCACATGAGAAGATGTTTAATTCTTTCTTGTAGCATTATTGAAAGCTGGAACTTACAGAGTCTGTGTCCAATATTAATAATACATTTTCAAAATGATGTTAATGAAAGTTAATTTTTCTGGGGAAAATGGAGAAAAAACATTTTATTCTGTTTCTATGACCTGAATGTTGCTGCTACCAGTTCTTAATTTTTGCAATGCAGTAGAATAAATATATGAAAAGAAAGATTAGTTTCATAGAGTGTACTCCTTTGGAGCCACACCAGCACTGTACCCCAAGAGGGGGGAAAATATGACATGTCTCTGTATTTTTTTTTCTTTGCAGATATCTCAGTAAGCTTGCTGTCCTTAGTTGTCACAGCCTGTGGACTTGCTCTCTTTGGTGTGTCTTTGTTTGTGTCCTGGAAGCTTTGCTGGATCCCTTGGCGAGAACGTGGCCTACCCTCTGGGAGCAAAGACAAAAAGCAAGAATCGCTGAACTATACAGACACAGAGACCAATGACCATGAATACAGTGAGGATTACCTGGGGCAGCCCACTTCCTACCCAGAGTCTTCCCTGAAAATTAGCCACACCTCCCCTGATATTCCATTAGATGCTCAGGCTGGGACCAAGGAGAATTGTGTGCACAATGTCCGAATGCATCGCCAAATCACAGAACCAACCTCTTCTGCTCGGTCAGTAGCTGTCATTTCTTTCTAATGATAATCACAATGAAAGGAGATGAGACCAAGACAGTCAGTTTAGAACCGACAGAGCTGATTACATATGTATGTTTTACTTGCCTCACTCTTTCATGGTGATAGAAAATAATTTGTGTGTTGGGGTGAGCTGGATGATGGATGGCTTTAAAATTAGGAAGGTGCTTCCATAGTAGCCACAGAAGCAATCCATTTTTTCCCAACATGAAAAACTACTTCATCATGTGTGTCTCCCCCTTATACACTGGACAAAATAGGCAAGAAGGTTAGTACTTGTAGAACAAAAAACAGCCTACACTGAACCTTGTAAATTAGGTTCATTTGCACTCATCATCAATACTGAGGGCCCTGCAAAAGAGAAAAATAGGACAGGCTACTGAAACACTTCTGAGAATTAGAAACAGCATTAAAGGTGATAGCTTTTAGCCAGAGCCTTGACTGTGGGGGAAAACTTACTGAGAAAGATTAGAAGGCAAGGAACCAAAGTGCCAGCATATGAGGGAACAGTAAAAGGGGAGGGGAAGAATGGGAGAGTGGTAGGGGCAGGTGATAAAAGGATTAGGCTGCATGCAACCAGAAAAAGGAGCAGCATGTGACACGACAATTAGTGGATTTCTGAGCCAATGCAGATGTATTGGATTTGGAGAAGATACAGTACTCTCCGTGTTGCTTCTGAATAACCTCTTGTTGACTTGAGTGGTTTGGCAAAGGCTCTTGCCTGCAGGCTGTACTTTAAGATAAGGTGCTGCAACAGCCACTAAAGGCTGAGAAATTGCTGACAGGCCCAGGTTTAGATGTGAGAAGACTCAGCCTGGACTCAGCCAGCAAACACCACAAATACGAAGGAGCAAAGGCACATAAGACACATTTCGATATCTTTTTGCCATCGTCTGCAGAGCAGTGTAAGGGAGGCTCTGTCAGACTCTGATCTTGGAGTCTGTGGAGAGGGAATTACCATAACTGTGGATGCAGGACATCATGTCGTGCATACAGACACCTGCGAGGTTGATTTCAGAAAGGAATGGTAGTTGAAAGCTGTGTTATGGAGCTAATGTTCTGTTTTCAAATCCTGTAAAAGTAGTATGCCCTATGCTCTGTGGTTCACTAAGAATACCACTGGTGTTAGATGTCAATAGAGGGCCATTCTCTACTGGTTACGCCAGGGGTGGGCAATAATTTTTGGTAGGGAGCCACTCCAAGATTTTGGAAAGTGATCAAGGGCTGCACTTTTCTATGGAGGGAGTGTGGGGTCTAGGATGGAGGCTGGGTACAGAAAGGCACACTGGGTAAAGGACTGGGATGCAGAAGAGGGTGTGGGGTCTGAGATAGTGTCTGGGTGAAGGACAGGGTTGTGATGGGAAGGAGTTTGGGGTGCAGGGTAAGGAAGTTAAGGACTAGTCAACTATCCGATAAGCAAATGTTTATCGGATAGTCAGTTGACTAGTTGATTCCCGCCCTTCCCTCCCCCTGCTGCCTCTTTCAGATAAAGAGAGGAGAGGGTACTCCAACAAAGCGGCAGCGCCTCACAGCTGATCCCTGGGTCAGCTGTGTGGTGCTGTCCCTTTGAAACGCTGTCTCAGAAACAGAGCCCGGGGTCAGCTGGGGACAGATCCTGGACTCTGTGCAGCATTTCTGCAGAATCCAGCATCAGCTGGGGAGTCCTCAGCTGACCCCGGGTTCTGCGTGACATTTCAAATCGGCAGTGCAGCATGAAGGTGTGTGGGACTCTTGAGTCCCCCGCCAGAGGCGTAGTGAGAGTGTTATACGCACAGGGGCAAAGGCAAAATTGGTGCACATCTGATATATGTGTACTCTGTGCACATCTGATATATTTTTACCAAAACTCCTGCCTGCCCAACTCGCCAAAGGAGAAAGGAAATAGGGTGGCCAAAAGGAATGGTATAGAGCAGTGTGTCTCAAACTTTTTTTATAAGCTTCAGAGGGGTAGCCGAGTTAGTCTGCAACAGGAAAAACCTAAAAAAACCCAAACAGTCTAGTAGTACTTTAAGGAATAACAAGTCATGTAGATCAGGGGTTCCCAAACGTTTTGACACGGGGACCAGTAAATCCATTCACGAGCTTTTGGAGGACCGGTAGCAGTCATTTGCATATTCATTAAGCAACTGGTGAATATTCAACTAAGTTGTTTCTGGTCCTCCCAAAGCCCCCAGTGCCAGCATTAGCAAAGCTTTTGATACAGTCACCCACAATATTCTTGCCAGCAAGTTAAGGGAATGTGGATGGGATAAATGGACTGTAAGATGGAATTTTGAAAGTTGTAAGACGAAACGCTAAATTTTCAGTGTTTCACCTGGCTGCATCCTCTGCCAGCGTGGGCCAAGGCTTGGGGAACCCAGCGCTGCATGGACACTCCAGGAGACAGGAGCAGATTGGGGGTAGGGTATCTGGCTAGGAGGGAGGATGCAAGGAGGGGTAGGGTTGCGAGGTGTCCAGTTTTGTACCGGACCATCCAGTATTTGAGGCTTCTGTCTGGGAAAAAAGTTGAGAAAATACTGGACATATAAAATGTCCAGTATTTTCTAATTAGATAAGTTTTATTATAATTAGGTGTATCAGTATGTAGCTGTGAACTGCCTGGCTGGTAGATGTGTTAATGCTGCGTGCGTGTGTCTACCAGCCAAGCAGTTCACAATTGCTCAAGGGAGGCTGTGCGGGTGAGAGGGAGAGGGAGGCAAAATGGAATCCCCAGAGCTGGACTCACTCATGTGGCATGTGCCCAGGTCAGTCCCGCTCCCCCACCCTTTTATTTTATGTGAGCAGATAACAATTTTTCACATCAAATTGTTGTATTAAATTAAAACAGGACCTGAAAAATATTATAAGATAACCTTAAAACATAATCTATAAAAATAAATAATGACAAATTTCCGATAGAAGTACATTTTCCTTGGTGTCCCTGAAAGCTATCAGTTTTCTTTGTGTGGCCCCCAGTGGGCTTCAAGTTTGACATGCCTTATCTACATGTTTGTTAGTCTTTAAAGTGCTCCCACACTATTGTTTTTTAAAGTTTTTCCATTTGTTAGAAAGTATCTTTTATTAAAAAATAATTAGAAGTAACCACAATGCACTCACCTTTCCCTCTGAGCCAGACTCTCTGCAGCGCTCCCCCATCCCAATGCACTCACGCCTCCCCCAGAGCCAGACACTCCCAGCACCAGGAGCACCCCCCCCAATCAAATCTCCTTCTTCCCATCTTCCTCCCTGAAGATCCAGGCACCAGAGGAATGGGACAGCCTGGGTAAGGAAATCTTACATTTAAAGTCGTCACTCCTGCCACCCAGCTTGGCTGCCTCAGCTCACAGTGTGTAGAGGGAGGCAGCACGTGCCCAGCTCCCCGGTCTTTGCTCAAAGCATCATGGGGGCCAGAGAAGCATGCTCTCTGGTCCCACCCGAGTCCGGTGCCCCCCTAGTGTGATGCCCGGGGGCAACTGCCCCATCCCCCCGCCTCCCTTCACTACACCTCTGTCCCCCGCTGACTCCAGGCTCCATGCAGGCGCTTCCACTTTGAAATGCACAAGAGCCCCTGCTGGGGACACTTGTACATTTCAAAATTAGCACGCGGCATGCAGCCTGAAGTCAGCAGGACTTCCTCCTGGCCCTGGGCTGCACCCGGAGTTCCACATTCCAGTGGGGGCTCTTGTGCATTTCAAAGGAGGAATGTGGAAGTGCCTATTGACTAACTGAGTAGTTGATGGAAATTCTGTCGACTACTCAACTAGTAAATTAACCACTAGTTAACATCCTTAGTGCAGGGTCGAGGAAGGTGCTTGGGTGCAGGAAAAGATTCCAGCCTGGTGTAGGAGGGAGTACAGGGTCTGGCAGGGAGTTATGACCTAGGGTAGGGGGGCGCAGAGGGTTTGGATGGTAACCTAGGGGAGGGAGCTGGGTTGTGGGAAGGGCAGGGGTGCCAGAGGCAGGCTCTGCCTGGGATGCAAGGCCGGCTGTAGATTTTTTGCTGCCCCAAGCACAAAATTTTTGCCCCCCCCCCCTTTTTTTGTTGGCTTTTACACATTTGCACTTCGCAATGTTTTTTGTTGTTGTTTTCATTTTTGTCCCGGCGTTTTAGCCCTATAAATAGCCAATATAATTTTAATTATTTGTTTTTCCATAAAGGCAAAGGCGCTTCAAGTAAACTTCCTCTCCCCTTTCACTTGCTGCTGGGTCACAACAACCTTTTCCCTGCCCTGTCCAGCCCCTCTCTATGTACAAGCACCCCTCACTCCCAACCCAAAGGGAGAGCAGGGAGCAGGGACAGTGCAGAGCCAGAGGGGCATGGGGAACAGGGGGAGCAGGGTTCACCATGGGGAATGGGAGATGCAGAGCCAGAGGGGTGTGGGGAATGGGGGAGGGGGTACAGTGGTGGCACAGGGAATGGGAGGCGCAGAGCCAGAGGGGTGTGGGGAATGGGGGAGGGGGTACAGTGGTGGCACAGGGAATGGGAGGCGCAGAGCCAGAGGGGTGTGGGGAATGGGGGAGGGGGTACAGTGGTGGCACAGGGAATGGGAGGCGCAGAGCCAGAGGGGTGTGGGGAATGGGGGAGGGGGTACAGTGGTGGCACAGGGAATGGGAGGCGCAGAGCCAGAGGGGTGTGGGGAATGGGGGAGGGGGTACAGTGGTGGCACAGGGAATGGGAGGCGCAGAGCCAGAGGGGTGTGGGGAATGGGGGAGGGGGTACAGTGGTGGCACAGGGAATGGGAGGCGCAGAGCCAGAGGGGTGTGGGGTTCGGGGGGGGCAGGGTGCGGGGTGCAAGGGTGGCGCAGAGCTAGAGAGTCACAGGGAACAGAGAGCAGGGGGACCGGGGAGCAAGGTGCGGGGCGCAGAGGCGGCGCGGGGAACGGGCAGCACGGAACCAGAGGGGCCCGGGGCGGGTCAGGGCGGACACAGTGAGCTGGGAGGCCGGCAGGGAGCGCTCTCTCGCTGGCGAGGGGGGCGGAGGCAGCCAGTTCCACAGCCAGTTCCCGGGGACATGCAACCAGAGCCGAGCTCCTGCGGCCCTTTAAAATAGGTGGGGCGGGCGGGGCTGAGCATTGCTGGGGCGGCAGCTTACCTGGAAACGCTGCCCCTGGAAATGTGCCACCCCAACCACGTGCTTGATTTGCTGGTGCCTAGAGCCGGCCCTGCTGGGAGGTGCTTACCTAAGCCAGCAGACAGGCAGCCATCCCAGCCAGGCTGGGCTCCCTGCCTACTGCAACCCCAGATTGCTTGAAAATACAGGCTGTTCCCTCCACGTGGCTCTCACCTCTGGGTGGGGAAGAAGCTTCTAAGACCCCCAGCTCCCAAGCCAATCTCTCAGCTCTATTGGCTGGAAATAGCTGAGAGATTGCTGAGGTCAGTTTTTATTAGCTGGTTGTTTCTGGCCAATAGGTGCTGAAGATTGGGCTGGTTGCGAGGAGATCACACAAAGCTGCATGCCCGAGGATCTCGGCAAGGTGGTTCGCGTGCTGGATCCAGTGGCTTGGTGGACCGGATCCAGCCCCCAGGCTATATTTTGCCCAGCCCTGGGTTACATGTGTATTTTGGCCTTTGGGGAAACATCTCACTTAAGTCAGTTTTGGAAAATAAATAAACCCTGACTGGACGACAGGAATATAAATCATATTAATTTTGATTCATGCATACAGTTTGATCCTCTGCTATAGTATGCTGGGCTTTTTTGATTTTGGTTTTGGTTTTTGAACAGCTATAAGATGGACGCTCAGAGATGCAAACTGTATAAGAGTATGTCTACACTAGCTCGTTAGTTCGAGCTAGGTAGGGTAATGAGGAATGAGGAGTAATGGTAGTTCGAATTAAGATCTTTAATTCGAATTACCTACTCCGTGCCGCATGTAGCCGCGAGCACGGAGTTCGGACTAAGGGGGATTTAAAAATGGCGGCGCCCAGGAACATGCAAATGAAGCCCTGGATATTTAACTCTCGGGCTTCATTTGCAACTCCGCTTGCCCTAATTACCCTACCTAGCTTGAACTAACGAGCTAGTGTAGACATACCCTAAGATACTGTGGGTGAGGAACAGTTCCTAGCAAGCACAGAACTGAGAATCAGGATATCAACATTCTAGACTTTGAACAGTTATGAGCTTTACAGTGTGACCTTCATCAAGTTTCCATACTTTAGTTTTTTCACCTATAGCAGCAACCCCTATTTGTCTTTACGGATCATTAAGATGCTGTAATAAAGAATGCTAGGGGTTAAGTTGTATGATTTCTTATTTGTGGTATAATATCTTGTCATGGAATTACTAATGCATAACAACATAATTATGCTTCTGCTGTGCAGCATGGGAGAAAAATTAGATGAATTATAAGAGACAATACTTTAATGCACACACTTTCAGGAAATGGTAACAGCAGAGAAAATAATGCTGATTATATTCAACATAAATATTTTTGGACTAATCCTGTTCTAAGATTTTCCTGGGTGTTCCTTTTTATGTTTATCTAATTTTGTTTTTATAGTTGGTTGCATGATTGCTTTGTACAAATTGGAGGAAAATGTAAAATCCAACTTATAGGATAAGGGTTTTACCTAATCCCGCTTTCATGTCCCACTACCATACAATGACTACAGATTTGATTTCTGCAATCTTCTTGTATAGTGGAAATTTCAATCACTGTAACCACATCTAGATAATAAATCTCACTGGACCATCTTCACTCCTGTCCCTTTCACTGCCCCATCCTTGGCCAGTCTCCCAAAGGCCCATGACCCTGTTGCTCTTTGCAACTTTCTCAGAGAGCCCAAGGTGGTTGGAAACTCTCTCCCTTGCCCATGTTACGGAGGCCAGGGGTCGGAGCTCGTTTCAAGCTTAGCCCCTGATTTAGATTTGCTCCTGGGCAGCCCCCAGAAGCAAGAGTTCCCAGCAGCAGCTGCTGTAACAAAGAACAAGCAGCCTAGAGATGGAGGCAACAGCGCAGCTGGACTGGGGACACTGCGCTCCAGAGGCAGTCCCAAGGGGGAAGGGAGGAGGCCACGCGGCACATGGTGGTGGGGTAGGAGGTCGCAGGGGCTTGCTGGGCAGTGGCATGCACCATGCTGGAACTCGAGGAATGCTGTGGTGTGAGCCATAGCTGTCAATGAAGGGCCATTGGTGGGGGTGGGCTGCCATTGGTAGACACAGCACATGCCCGAGCCAGCAGGGAGAATGAGCAGCCATGCTTTGGTCCACAGCATGGCAGTTAGAGTGACGCCATTTTGGGGGCATCCTTCCTGTGGATCACCTGTAAGGTGGCCATTGACCATTAGTGGTCCATGGACTGCATTTTGAGAACCACCTGCTCTATAGGCATGTAGAAGTAAAAATCAAACCCTGAGGCATCATACAACCAAAAATATTGGATAAGAAAAGCCAAATGAAATCAAAGAATTGGTCCTGTCTGCAAACCAGAACCTTAAAACACCTAGCAATGTAATCAGTTTAGTTTCTTTCATTTTTCCCTTCAGGCACAATTCAATCCGAAGACAGCTTAATCTCTCGAACCCTGACTTCAGCATCCAGCATCTTCAAAAACAGGAGCAGACAACTGGGATTGGGCGCATTAAGCCTGAGCTGTATAAGCAAAGATCGGTGGATAATGATGATGGACGGAGGAATAACAGCAAGGCCTGTGGGAAACTCAACTTCATTCTGAAATACGATTGTGACTTAGAGCAGTTGATAGTGAAAATTCACAAAGCTATTAACCTGCCAGCAAAGGACTTTTCTGGAACTTCAGACCCTTATGTAAAGATCTATTTGCTTCCAGATAGAAAAACAAAACACCAGACTAAAGTGCATAGAAAGACCCTCAATCCAGTGTTCAATGAAGTTTTTTTATTTCCCGTTCCGTACAATGATCTGACCACAAGGAAACTCCACTTCTCTGTGTATGACTTTGACAGATTCTCCAGACATGACTTGATTGGCCAAGTGATAGTGGATAATTTTTTAGATTTGGCAGACTTTCCCAGGGAAAGTAATATTTGGAAGGATATTGAATATGTCACAAATGTGAGTATGACAACTTTTCATGAGATTTTATATCATAATTTATAGCCTTAAACTGTTTTAACTGATGATAAAAGTTCTCCATAGTAGATTTATTCTCTCTCGCTCTCTCAGCATTTGACCTCAATCCATGGACAGCATTAGAAATGTACTTTTGTAGTAGCTACTGAAGGTTAATCATTATCTTGTTTATAGGGAAGGAAAGCCACAAAAATCTGTTCTTTAACCATCACTTACCCCAAAGAATGTAACATTTTCTGTTCTTTATCTACTTTTCTGTGTTTTGTATTATTTGGAAACTGAATACTTTTGCTTCTTTCAACCTTCCATAGAAGATCACTCTGACAAAGTCAGCTGACCTTGAACCTACAAACAGAGGGAATATTTGAGTTCAAACCTAGCATCAGCAGTTAGTAGCCACAATCTAAAATAAGAGGAAAGTTTGAAGATGTCACACGGGATATGAAACCACAAATCCATATAAAGACCTTCACCATGTACATTCCAGGAGGCAGGTCAAAAGTACTATATTTGCCTAGTAGGAGAATTTTCTAAAGTAAACTTTATTAGAAAATGAAGCAGGGCAATATCTTTACCATAATCTACTAATATTCTTACAGTCTTGCCAATCTTTGGTGTTGGGGCTGATGTAGGAACACTTTCAGGGCATCAGCTACAAAACAGTATTTTCAGAGTCAATGGCTTTATACGTCTCTCAAAAAGGAGCCCTATGCATTTCAGAGCTCCCTGGTTTCAGAAGATAATAAATATTTCATTTGTTTTATGGGACTGCAGTTTTGTGAATTCCACCCTGTAGTGTCAGTAAATCAAGAACTGAAAAAAGAGTGCATGTCATTTAGGCCCTAATCCTTAAAAGCATTTAAGCATGTGTTTAAAGTCATAGGTGTTGGAACCAAGGCTATGTCTACACTCCAGAGAAAAGTCAGAAAAAGATAGGCAAATTGTGAACCGCACTTTGCATATCTTTTTCCACTTTTTTTCCGAAAGAGGCTTTTCCAAAATTTGGCCCATCTACATGGGGCCAAATTTTGAAAAAAAACTCCTCTTTCGGAACATCCCTTATTCCTCTCACCAAGAAGAATACAGGGATGCCAGAAAAACACATCCGCTTTTTCAGAAACTGTTCTGAAAAAGCAGACGTGTTCCTTGGATGCAGCAGAGCTTTTCTGGGATACCTATGGTATTCTGGAAAAGCTCAGCAATTTAGACAAAGCCTAAGCATGCTGCCACTCTCCCCCAGCTTGAAGCAGTTTCCGTCATATAGAGGGTTTGCTGTATGATTTAATGGCTCTCAGTAAGTACCCCCACTACAAAAATTGTCCCAGCAGACCACTTAAAGTTTCTTTTGACTTCAGTGGGACTTAGACATTTTTTTCGAACAGCATTTATCACATGCTTAATTTTATCCATGTACTAACTGTCAGGTTGATTAAGCACTAGAATAAATTACTTAGAGAAATTTTTAAGAACAAGTTAACAAACACCTGTCAGGGATGATCTAGATAAAGCTTAATCCTGCCATGAGGCCAGGGAACTAAACTAGATGACTACTCAAGATCCTTTCCAGTTCTAATACTCTAAAAAAGGATACTTTCCTGCTAGTCATTATTTTAAGCTCTCTTATCTGTGAAGTTCAGAATACGCATTGGATGCCCTAGCAGGGCATGGGGTGAAACAGAAGCTTCATCCGAATGGAGGGTGGAGGAGTTGGAGAGGGAATGAGGTTTGGCCAGAAGGGTTGAAGGGCAGCAGCAGGCTCCAGGCTGGGACAGAATGTCCTGGGAGTTCCCGGGCCCATTCCAGCCCCATTAGGTCCTGCTCCTGCCTTTTCCTCTGCCCTCAAGCATGGGCGACTTCACCTGAAGGAAATAGGCACTCCTGTCCTCCCAATATAGCTATTGTGTTTGAGTTCACATTTTTAAAACTCTTCAGTTCCATGTGTTCTGAATTGTCCCTGAAGTGCAGGCCCATCTATAGCTCTTAGAGCTGTAGTCAAGTTGCATTTCAGAGTACAGTAAAGATGCTTATCCAAACAGAACAAAGGACATGGAATTCATTCTGAGAAATAGAGTTTTTTCAATGTAAATGATGCACACCAGGAAACATAACCCAGTTTCAGGTACTGTTGTTTTCTAGATAAGGAGTTCAGACCAGTGATGTTCTGTAGTACTTGATTTTCCAATTAACATTTCCAAAAATACAAAAGATTAGACTTTGCATATTGAAAATTGACACTAGCCTAGGATAATTCAAGAAGTTGGTCTGAGTTGCAGCAAATTCAAATTCAATCCTTTATCTGTGTTTCCTAGCTGCCAGATGGACTGCCAGCAAAATCTCAAATCCTATTGGGAATTCAGCAGAGCTGTACAAAACTCACCTAATTTCATCACAAATCTGAATACAGGGCAAGGTTCATGAACCTTTAAAGCAAAACTGGGCTGAGTTACCAGTAAATCTGAGTTGATTAACTCTTTTGAGCAGGAATTGCATAAACCTTGGCAGCAGCTGAGTTTCTTATTTTTTTCAGACATCAAACTCAAAAGGGACCATATGCCATGCTGACTTACACCCAAGGTAAACCCACTGAATTCAGTGGGCGTTTGCAAAGTATAAATCATTGAAGAACCCAACAAAAGAGCAGAAGTAAGCATCATACAGCCAAACCCACTGTTCTGGTATTGCCTCTGAGCAGAAGTGCATCTACGTCAGTTTCTAATGCACCTCATTCTATTATATAGCAGAGGTGAGCAAGATACAGCCTGGGGGCTGGATCTTTTGATCCGGTCTATGGCCTACTCCACTGGAACCACATGCAGGAAGCAGTCTCAGGTCTCAGAACGGCTGGCTGCTCCATCTGCCTCTCTGTGATGGGAGGGGGGAGCTTCATACACTGAGAATCCCCTTCTTTACCCATATCCCCCCTCTCCTGTACCCCAATCCTAAGATCCCTTCTGAACCCAACCTCCATCCAAGACCCCTCATCCCTCTCCATAGAAAAGTGTGGCCCTTGACCACTTACCAAAATTTTGGAGTGGCCCCTCATTAAAAATTATTGCTCTTCCCTGTTATATATCCAGGCATCCCATGTCCCATTATCTTACATTAATTCCTATTTTATTAGTCCAATATATCTAGTCCAGTTTGACACGTAAATGTAACATAGAGCATCAAATCCGGTTTTGCTGAATACCTAACAAAATTGTCTACTTCAAGTGGACATTGCAGATTATATAGGAAATATGTCAGTTTCACCACACCAAAGCCATTTGATTCAACCATTAGACCACATCATCAACGTGTCTACTTCCTGTTCTCAAACAAGCCTGAAGGCTTACAATTCCAGTGAAGTATAGAAACTTCAAATCTTCTCCTTCCAGAGTGCAGTACAATCCCAGACTATGAGACTCTTTCTAATAACATTGAATGCATTACATTAGTAGGGCTGGATAGGCATATGGTAACATAAAGCACTTCCACAGCACAAAGAAGGAATCTATGGTGAGGATTGCCTCCCAGCAGAGAGCAATCTGATAGTTAAATAACAGGTCTTCTAATCTTAGTCCCTCTGAGCATAAAGCTGATTTTTTTTTTGGTGTTGCGCTGCTTTTTCCAGCCAGAGAGAAGTGGAAGGGATTGCCTTACAGGCACCAGCAGAGGGGTGTTTCATGGAAGACATAATTAAGCAGATCAGCCTTAGATGAACATGAAAGCCAGTCTGACTGGCTTTTTTGTATGTAAGATTCTCTCAGGCAAGTTAGTCTGATTTCTGACTGTTAGGATGTAGGAGAAGGGGTTGCTTTTATCTTTATTATTAGCCCTGATCTTAACTGCACAACCTAATGCTCTCTCAAACCTCTGAAATTTGTATTCTAAAGACTTTTTTAAAAGTTCATAAACCAGCAGCATGTGGGTACAATTATTCATTGCCCCTATCGCCACTGCGCACGTGCACGCACACACACACACACACACACACACACACACATATAACCTCAGGGAAAAAGAGGAATAGGTTTTAAACTTTAAAATAAAATAATTAATTTATCCGCACAACACATGAAACCCCATCTTACAGCATTCTGCATAAATGAGAATTACCTTCTCCATAAAATACTAAAATTCACATATATTAACATGCCATGTACCAAAGAATAAAATATTTTCAAGGGAATTAGCTACTAAACATGACCATGCTGCTATATAGACAGACAGAAAGATTGCATATCTTAAATGAATCAGTTTCTACTGTGAACATTTGGTTTCCTAATGACTTCATTTTGTTATTTATAGCTTTAACCTCTGTCACCTTGCTGTGTAGCAAATCCTTCCACTAACTTCTTTCTTTAAGAGAACAAAAATTAAAACTGAGTGATGATTTCCACTTAGAGGATGGGAATAAATGAGAACTATGACTCACTCACTTCTACTCCCCGCTGTGCTAGCATTTTCAGAAGCGGTTTTGGATGTCGGACTTGAGACACCTAGAATGTGATTTTCAAATATTCTGGGTACCCCCACCTCTTCTACTGAGATCAGTGAGAGCAGCTGCAAGCACTCAGCACCTCTGAAATTCAGACCGTTGATATTTCAAGATGGGGACACGACTGAATATTTCTGAATATTCTTATCTTGAACTTTTAGTGCTTCAAGTTTAGCAGATATGAAAGTATGTGTCTCACTGAAGTATCGTGTGTGATAAACAATTTAGTAGTTGCTATGTGCTGTACGTACAATGGCAAAATATTTGTGCACTTGCCTATTTGGCTTTGTTAAGAAGTCTTCCTACGAGACAGATAAATTTTAAAAGATACTAATATAATTCCATGAGCTGGATGCACAATCAGAGTACATAACAGGAATGACCTCTTGTATCATCTGATAGCATTGCTTCCCTCTTCCTTATCTGTCTGTGTTAGTGTTAAATAATGTCAGGTATTTTTCATGGTACAACCGTTTGAAAAACCAATACTGTCACCGATTGC